GTTTATAAAATAGCATCAGCTTCAAAGAATGAAATTTCCGTTTTCACAGCACCTGTCTTTCATCCAAAGTCTAGAATTCATTCTTTATCACACATCACAAAATCAGTTTTCAAATTGCAGAAAAAATATTCTTTATCTACTCTTGTCTCTGAATTACTGATTCTGAGTTTGTTTGACCATCACATTTCATTTCCTATGTTATCTATGGAAGTATGTATGTATGTATTTATTTATTGTGTTCATCCTATACCATTCTATACCATCACAATTTAGTCAACTAAAGTTTTTGGTCACTTTTCTTTCTCTTCTTGCTATAAAAGCTGAAAAATTAAATATTGAAAGATCATTTCATAGTTTCACACAATATTTATAAATTCATAGAAATCTTTAGGAACTGGAAATGACTACAATTCTAAGAATTTCTGAACATCTGTAGAATATAATGGGAAAAATAAATTTGCTTAATTCAACATTATTGTACTTTTTCTTATCTTTTCCATTCTAAGATTATATAATTACAGGTGAAAATCCTGAGGAAAACTATATTGGCCAATTGTTATTGTTATATTTGCTATACACAAGTCATGATATTTTAATGAATTACATTTGAGAGCTACAAATGACTACATTTTTTAAGTGAGTAAAAAATTACAAGTGCAGTGAATTTTTCCCACGTGTAACTCTCGGGGAAAAAATAAACACTGCAAACACTGAGCCCTTCCTAGTACAGCACAGAATGTGATTAAATCGGAACCTGCTTGGAGGTTTAATGAAGGGGCCCTACTTAAGTTAGGATTAGGAGCTATTGAACTCTGCTTTGCTTCATTGTCTATGGTTGTATTATTTAACACATTTCAACTAATAATTGTTCCTGTACACTATAGGTACAAAATAATTAAATTGTCAAATCAAGTTAGCTCCATTGCTTTGCAGATGTGTGAGTTACTTACTCTTTTCTACTTAAAGCTCCAGAGTCACCAGATCAGGTTGAGAACATGCATTTGTGCTGCACACCATCCCAACTCTTGTGTAAAGTCAGAGTTAGAAACCCTCTGATAGGATGCTGCTCTCTCAGGCTTTCTTCTAAGAACAGTGTGGTGACACCAACCTTGTTTCCTGCCTACACTAATCCGAGACAGCTTTGCAGAGTAGCTCAACTGTGTTTATCAGCTCCTGGCAGTTTATTACCAAATATGAGATGCTCAAAACACTGCAGTGGGATGGGCTTGCTTCACTTTTGAGCCCAAGTTCCAAATACAGTGTTAAGCAAATATTAGGTGGAAATTTTGAAAAATGGATAATGCTATAAATTAGCAAAAATTAACAAAAAATTGTCAAGGGTGTTTAGGATCTGACAGAAACTCATGAATTGGAGTGTAAGCATGGGTGAGGAAGACACACTACGAGAACATAGTAAAAGAAAAGCATATTTTAGTGTGATCTGGAAAATGTAGTGTTCCTTCTCTTAACTTTTCTATACCTACACTCAAATATCTACTGCTTTTGAATCACTTTCTGCAAGCTGCTTTTAGTAGTATATCATACTTTAATGATATTTTCATGGTTTGGCCATGAATATGTTTGAACAAATTTATTCAATATTTAGAAATCAAGATAAAAAGGCACAGCAAACATGGATAATGAATTTCTGCTCCCTATTGTGGTACACATTAAGTAAATTAATGAGTGGCTCTGTAATACACCTAACCTCAGTCTATCTTCATAATAATTGAAAAAGAAACTATCTTTATAACATATGATGGAAATTAAATAAAATAATGCTTGCACGTTTTCTGATACAAAACAGTAGTTAGTAAATTCTAGAGAAAAGTTAGAAAATGAATTAAGTTCCAAAATGTCCGACACTATGCCACTACCAAAATCTACACATGGCATTCATCTGCTCACATTTTATATTAAATTATTTATTTCTTATACAATTTGAGCATCAGGGAAAAAAAATAAAACCATTAATGTATATTTGAAGATAATGCATAAAAGCTTTTTTATTATATCTTGATATGTTTTTCAAAATTAGCTGGCCTGAAACTATTACCAAATACTTTTAGAAATGTCACACAAAACATTTCTGAGGGTCAAATACATTTGTAAAACACTCATTAAACTTACTTTAGTATGTTGATGTACATTGTATATATCTTAAGTGAGAGAAAAATTGTAAAAAAATGAAAATATGTGCAAAATTTTAACTCTACATGGCCATGAGCCTAGGCATAGTGGAGCAATATAAGGGCATACAGCTCATTAACTTCTCATAATGCATGGTGTTTCATGGGCTATTTTTTACAATATTCTTCAGGAGTATCTTAACATAGGCCAAAGGGAGTAAGTGGCATTGGCACAGAGTGTAGATTTAAGCAAAAACATTACAAGCTAAATAAATTTTAGGAAAGTATCAAATACTAAGCTGATTTAACATATAGGAAAGAATAATTTATTCACTCAAAATTAAAATAATATACAGACATATTAAAGGAAACATGAAAATCACAGGAAAGAAATTGGGAGTGAGTTTACATCAAATTTGAAAAAAATATTCACAAAGCAAAAAAATCAAAGGAGGGAAAGGACAGCCTATGTGATAAGAAAAATAAAGAGGAAATTATATACATGAGGAGTAACTTCTAAAATATGTGGTGATTTCTTATAATGTAGAGTAAAAAAAAACCTTAATATTTTGGTTTAAAATGGGCCAAAACAATTACTATAAGAAGACACATATACGGCCAAAGGATACATTTAATAGCCCTATACATTACTAATTATCAGGAAAATGCCAATGATATAAAATATATCAACTTTTTGGAGGACTATTTTTTAACTAAAAGAATCACAATGACATTCAAGATGAGAAGAAAGGGAAATCCTTGTACCTTGTCAGGGGCTTGAGAGACGGAAATGAGGATTTAAAAATCAGTGTGAACAGTTTCAGTAAGGAAAGGTGACTAATTTCTAAGGATCTAATGTGAAATATTCTGATAACAGATAGCAACAGCACTCTATTGTACACTTCAATTCTGTTCTAGGGATAAATCTGTGTTATGAGGTCTTACCTTCTGAAATTGCTATGGTATGAATATAGAAAAGCACAGTTTCCAAAAAGCATATTTGAAATCAAAGATATAAATATTATCTCCATGTGAATAAAGAGGAATAATTAATATTCTTGGAAAAAGTTATTCAATTTTTAATAAAATGTTTATAATTTTGACGATTTTCTAATTGCTGAATGAAGTTAAATATATGGATATAATATTGTACACCCATGTTAAGAATTTTATGATTAAAAGAAGTTTAAGACTGTGTATATGTATGTATAATATATTTATGAATCTATGTATCTATATATTTATGTATCTATCTACTATCTTTATCAGTTTATGGAGAGACCTGTTAAAGAGCAGTATCTAAAGATTTAAAAGGAGGTGAGAAGCAAAGGTAAAGTATTAAATTCAAGCTTTACTAAGAACTTTCCTGCATCAGAAGAATGGAAATATTGCTTGTAATATATTTGTATTTTAGGAAGCAAGGTGAGAATGTATGGAGAGTTTAAAAGGAAATGTTTACATGTATTTCAATGTTATTAAAAAGTGCAAGTTGAGCATATTTGTTAAATATAACAAGGACACAGGAAAGTATGTTCATGTGTAGATGGTCTTCCTGAGAAAGATTTCACTTCTGTAATTTTCTGTCTTTTATTCAATAACAAAGGTCTGAAAGAAAAATGAGTGCGGAAATTCTGTACTGTGATTTGTGGAGACAGTGTGATTGAAGAATAAGGGACAGTATCATTAGAAAACAAAGATGGAGAAGGGAAGAAATTGAAGCTCCTAAGAAATAAGTTATTTGGACCAAAAAATGTACATCAGTTTTTAGAATTTGACAGAACCTGATAACAGATGTGAAAGAAAAAAAGACTTGAAAGGATTGGCAAAAATGTGATGTGTGGTTTGAGAGAAAGTTGGAGTTCAGTTATTCAAAGACAGAATAAGTGTATCTGTTACTTTTAGAAAGTAAAAAGCTGTGGGAAAATGCAGAAGATGAGTGGCCCTGAAAAGAATTTGAAGCTGTTAGAATTCTATGTTCATATATTTTGTTATGAAATGTGAAATAATATGACATTGACTATGAATATGTATTATATTCCACATTTGTAAATGCAGGATGACAATTTTTAGCATAAATGTTTTGAATTTTTATATGCTTTACAATCTCCCTCTATTTTCACATAAACTTAAGCCACATATACTTAGCACCACATAAAATGATTACATTTCATTTCTTCATGTAATAGCCCAGAGTTGACCGGGAATTCCCATTTCTAGTGGTGTTATGAAATATATTACTATAATTTCTTCTTTTCCACACACAATTATAAAACTAATATTAATTATAATATATAAATTTATGCCCAACTAGTATATGTTATCTATGATGTCAGGTATATTTAAAAAGGAAGTATGTCATTAATGACTAAAAGACATCTCCAAAAGGTTTGGAACATTTGGTGTGACTGTGCCTAAATTCTATCCCAAAAATGGTTCAGTTCAGTATGAGAAGATTATTGCCTAAAGCAAAAAAAAAAAAAAAAAAAAAAAAAAAAAAAATACACATATTAAAATCTTATCAAGATCTTTGGTACGATTTTTTAAAACTTTTAATAAGGTAAACTGAGAGTGATTTTTCTCTGCATACCAAATATTATGCTTTGTCTTGTGTTCTATTGGTTTTTGTTAAAATTTGATTAACCTATGCTAATAATTAAATAAATGAAATAATCTAATTATTTTATTCAAATGGAACAATGGCTTTCATGAAAGTCATACAATCTCATGTTGGACTTGCTTATAAGAAATGAAAAAAATATGTTTTCCTATAATTTTATAGGAAGTCAACTGTATTGCAAAAGAAGAGCTAAAGACACTTAGTAAATGAGAGTTGGGTATATTATTTGCCAGCCATCAAACAGACATAGAAGAATGGCCCCTTCTAATAACACACAGTTTCATCCTTACATGTTTCTTCTCCTGGGAATTCCTGGCCTTGAAGAACTTAATGTGTGGATTGGATTTCCATTTTGTGTTGTGTATTTGACTGCTCTTCTGGGAAATATTGCCATTATTTTTGTGATTCAGACTGAAGCCAGCCTCCATCAACCCATGTTCTATTTTGTGGCCACTTTGTCTTCGATTGACTTGGGTCTGTCCACTTCCACTATCCCCAAGATGCTTGGAATCTTCTGGTTCAAATCCAGAGCAATCTCTTTTGAGGGATGCCTCGTGCAGATGTTCTTTATCCACTTGTGCACAGGCATGGAGTCAGCTGCACTTGTGGCCATGGCCTATGATCGCTATGTGGCCATTTGTAACCCTCTGCACTATACATTGGTTCTGACAAACAAGGTGGTGTCAGCCATAGCTTTGATCATCCTCCTGAGACCATTGGCCTTTGCAATTCCATTTGTGGTGCTCATCCTGAGACTGCCCTTTTGTGGACATCGAATCATTCCCCATACATACTGTGAGCACATGGGTATTGCCCGTCTGTCTTGTGCCAGCATCAAGGTTAACATCATCTATGGCTTATGTGCCATTTCCGTGCTGGTATTTGATATCATAGCAATCATCCTCTCCTATGTCCAGATCCTACGTGCTGTCTTTCGCCTACCTTCTAGAGATGCCCGGTTAAAGGCACTCAGCACCTGTGGCTCCCATGTGTGTGTCATGCTCTCCTTCTACACGCCAGCACTTTTCTCCTTTATGACCCACCGGTTTGGCCGAAATGTTCCTCAATACATCCATATTCTTCTTGCCAACTTTTACGTTGTCATCCCACCTGCTCTCAACCCTGTTATTTATGGGGTCAGAACTAGGCAGATCAGAGAGAGCATAATTAAAGTGTTTAAGGATAAATTATAAAATATGGGTTGTAGAGATTGTAAAGCCAATACAGAACAAAGAGTGTCTCAATCTTTACTCCCCAAATTGCAATATTGTTTTAACTGGGGAAGAAGGCATCCTGTGCGTGGTTTTGTAAATGTTTTACATTTATAATAGAGAGAAATATGTAATGCAAATAAAAAACAATACATACTGAATGCAAGTACAGTTCGAACCACAAAACATATATAACAATTAAATGGTATCTAAAATAGGATGACTTGGAAAAGCTCAAGAAGTTAGTAATTAACATCACAATAATAATTTTAAGCATTAACAGCATACATTTTACAAGCCAGGTACAGTTTCCATAACTGCATTAACCAGCTCGGTTCTTACATTTTCAATCAGAAGTATGTACTACTCTGCTGGCCATCAAAGTGCTGAGGAAACTGAGGCAATGATACAGTGTGGAATGGAGGGGACAGCCATGATGTAACAGGTGACACATGAGGAAAACATATTTTAACACTTCATTTTGAAGAGACATATGCTTTACTGAGGGTCATGCTGAGACATAAACAGCATGCAACCTCCTTTTTTTTTTTTTTTACCAGAAAAAAATATTACTTGAAATCAATATGTGTAAAGTTTTTGAATGTGTAGACACATGACCTGGATTTCTTATTTGTTTCCAGTTCATTTTATGATATCATCTTGCCATGTGGACTAGCTTAAAGAGACTCAAAGAAAAAGTGAAATGCATAGAGGAAAAAAGAAATTATTTCATAAAAATAATATTCATAGCTAAGGAAACCATATATCAAGTAAAGACGATGATGTTGAGTAAACTAAAAACAACAACAAAAAATTCCATGGACAAACAGCACATAAACTCAAATATTTCTTTAGCAGTGTTGTTAAAAATATTTAATAAACCTACAAATGAGAAAAAAGCATACACTTTATTTCCATATAGTGCTCCTATTGGTTTTAGAACAAGAGGTTCAAACTTGTCTGAAAGAAAGCACAATATAACTTTAATGTAATATATTAATACTAGTATTGTATTAATATAAGATTTAAAGTGCCATGTGGTACCTTATTTCCCATGAGTAAATAAAAATTTAAAATTTGAAAATATTAAATATCTATGGAACAAATTATAGGAAGAAATTTTGCCATATATTTGATAAGTATACATGCATGACGCCTAAGAAAATAGACCACTTAAACGATGCTATCTCATGTTACATGGTTTAATAGGCATATAAAAATTGAAATAAATAGTATCATTGTATTTGATAAATCTTGACCACTTATATTTTTAGTAACTATATTTAGTTTTTATGTGTTTCATACTTCATAATAAGACAGGATGCAACACACACATTGTCACATCCCTTATATGCATTACTCAGAAGAGGAAATGAGTTAAATGAGTTTCGGGATAAGTTCCTTAAGATTTCAGTTAATATTTAATGTAGAAAAAATAGTAAAATAACAAAACATTGTGGGAAAACTTTGATTGTTTCCATATTATACACTTCAAAATCATATTACATAAATTAGTGAATATAGTAATTTGGTCAGAAAAATGAAAGCAGAATGATTACACATATATTTGAAGAAATAAAGTACATTCCACATTTGAAGGGATGATAATTAACAAAATTATGGAAAGCAGATGGATGCAAAAGCTAGAAATAAACATGAATTGGATAAACAATTTGTGTACTCAAGAGATATTATACCCATGGGTTCCTGGTTTGCTAGATGTAGGTTTCAATCAACAGGCTTCAAATGTGTGACACAAACCCTCTGAGAATCTCAGTCCCTGAACAGAGGGCCACCTTTTCTGGGATCTGCTTCTTCTTCATAAAGGAGTCTTCTTGGAGGGGCACATATGCACGGATATTCAGCAGGTAGGCCCGCCTGACACTGCAAAATGAGGTAGGACATTGACCAGGGGAAGGAAGCCCAGGCCACATTTCATGTTTTGGGATTTTTTTCTCATAAAGGCTCAGAGAGGTGAAGCAAATCAAAGCAGCAAACATGGAGGAGCCTTTCTGAAAGTCACATCAGGTATTCTTAAAGACATACCTTAGGTAAAAAAGCTAGGATCCCTGTGGTTCAGCTACCATCATGGAGAGGGAGCACCCAAGTCCCCATTGAGTTGGCAATGTACCTACAGGTTTGGGCATGAATAACCATCCTTTGAGAACCATATATAGTCCTTAGTGAGTTCTTTGAAAGAGCTGCTGATTTTTGTGACAGCCCGTGCTGTCTGGGCTAGTGAGTAGGGACACAAGTATTTGTTGCACTTACGTATTGATCTGCTTTCAAAAATCAGAGCAAATTTCTTTTTTATGTGAGTGACTAAAACTTTAGATACAGTGTTCCATTAGCCTCAGTCTGGTTGGATTGTATCCAGTTCATTTGTTTGCATCTAGAGTAAAATGCGTATTTCCTATACTGTTAATAACATGTTGGATTTTTTATAAATTGTAATTTGAAGACTACCCAAGAAAAATAATAATGAGAAATTACTTAAGGAGACAGTATTGTCAACACATTTTACTAGGCACCTCATAATAGTAGCACACTTTTTGGATTTGATAAAGCCAGGCAATTTTGATTTTATTACTATCAGTAATAAAATAAAGATAAATACAGATAAATAAAATAAAACTCAGGGAACCATTTACCTAAGGTCATATTAAGTGGAACCAGGAAGACATGATTTCAGACTTTGCAGGTTTTAAATGCCCTAAACCTTAAGTGAACTAATTTCCTATCAATCGCATTAGAAAAAACAGGCACTTTAGCAAAGGAAAGGTACATTTATAATACACTGAGTGGATATCATTTAGCAAACACTCGTCATACTGCTAAGAGCATTGTATTTATCATAGTAGTATGCTACTGCAGTGTGTTTGAAACTATATTAATCATGCAGGCTTCACATAAGTTCAAGTTCTTAAAACTACTGAAAAAGACAGTGAAATGATACTGGGAATGGAGGCTAGCTCATTGGTTAGTTCCACCTCTACCAATGGAGAGAAATCCCAGGATTGCTAAGTTGAGATTCTGTGTTTCTGAATCTATTGAAGCTAAACAAGAATGAATATAATTATGTGCTACTGGTATTGGCTTTGAACCATAGATTTAAAAATTTATGATGGCTAAAGATGCCAAATATGTGTAAGCTCAGAATTACAGTCACCAGAATGGAAATATCATAACAGTTAATTGTTTCCTGGTGATGGAAGCATTATAGATGTAGGGTAAAACAATATTTTGAGATACAAATAAGAAAGAAAATATCAAGAGTAAAGGTAAAAACTTAAAAAGTAAAGTAAAGGTTAAAAGTAAAGTTGTTTTATTTAAATCACTGTAGAATGAGTTGTAATCAAAATGTATCAATATTAAAAATTGTAAAAACGTAGTAGAGTAAAATACACAGTGTTATTAAATATCCAAATATTTTTCCTCACCTCTTGCACACTTACGTGATCATTCTGATCGCTTTCTGAAGCAGTTTTTGAAGCCTTTGAATGAGTCTCTTTACGGAATATGAGCCAAATGTGGTGAACGCTGCTGCTTCCAAGTGCTATTCAATGGAAAACAGTCTTATGAAAATACTGTGGAGGGTTCTCACCCACCATTTTCTCTGGATGACACTGTTTAACTCACAGCTCTTCTTCAAAGTCAAAATGACCATGAAGAGCAAGATTTTTGAATTAATTTAGGACCACTAGGCAACCAGGAGGAACATAAACAAAGACACTCTGGAAAAAGGCCAGAACTGCTTCAGAAAGTTGCAACAACAGTAGGATTAATGTGTTCCAAGTGAAGGGGAATGTTTTAAGAGGTTTAATGGAAATATGTCCTGTACTATAACTTATTTTTAATTTAAATATTTACTGTATTTTTATCAAACATACATTTATTGTTAATTAGAGTTCTTGCTTTCTGTGCTTTTAACACAAGTATAAAAGTTTGAAATTCAATCTTAATTTTTTACTTGAATAAAATATCTGTATTCAATTGAAATAAAATATTCTGTATAAAAAAGCTCTAAAATTGAGTATTTTATCAAATTATATTTTATATTATGTAATTTCACTTCTTTTGGTTAAATGTATGCTTTATACCCTTTTATTATGGAGCATTTGAAACACACAAAGTAAATGGAATATCATGAAATGTCATCATATAGTGTCAACAACTACAAACTTTCTTGCCTTTTCCCATGTTTCAATTTGCTTTTATGAGAAAATTTACATATATTTAATGTATAAATCTGATCTTTACACAGTTGAGAAATGTTCACCTATATATTCTACACCACTATGCCAACATGGAATCTTTTCTCTACCTTACCACACTCGCTTATGTTCCTACCTAGCAAACCTTGAATTAATCTGTGGCAGCCATTCACGTGGCATGTTGAATTCATAATTATATTTTATCCTCTAGAACTTACTATAAATATAATAATGTAGTAACTATGTTTTATCAACTAGTAGCAATCATTAATTCAGAACAATGATTTTGAATTCATTTCTGTATTTATATTTTAACTAATTAAGCCATCTCTTTAAATGAATAAATATGTTACATAAGAATTCTGAATTTGAAAGTCTGTTCACTTATTGACGACTGTGTGGTCATTTCTTTGGAGTAATTATGAATAAATCAGTTATGAATGTTGCATAAATCCTTTGGTGGACATGTTTTTTTGTTTCCCTTGTGTAAGCCACTAGTATTCAATTGATTTAAGGATTGACTTGGTGTATTAATAAATGTAGAAGAAACCATTACATTTGCCCAAAATAGCAATATTTTTATTTCACATTATTTGGAACAGAATCCTGTGCTTAATAACCTTGCCAAAGTTTAAGACTATAGGCTTCCTAATTTTAGTCACTGTAGTGGCTGTCTAATGGTAGGTCACAAATTATATAACATATCTTACTTATACAAGATGATTTTACAAATTTTAACATAATTTATATAATTCATTTACCCAGTGT